ACTAGACTTGAAGGACTGCTAGTCTCTCACAACTCTCTCTCACGGGAGTGAGTTGTATTGAGCCATTTGTAGTGCTTTATAATTTAATTATTATTTCTTGTATTATATATTTATCTGTATATGATTCAACAGTTCATTTCTTGTTATATATCTCTATCTTTATAAATAAATAAATTATCAGCAATTTGGTTTTATCTTTCTAGAGAACCCTGTCTAACACAAGCTCTATGGCGTCTTTGCTGAGTTTCTTTCCCAGTGATCTGTCTTTCTATGATAGTGGAGTGTTAAAGTCGCCTACTGTGATTGTTGAGTCCGTGATTTCTGTTTTCATCTTTTTAATAATTTGTTTGACGAAATTCGCCCCACATTGTTGAGAGCGTAGATATTCAATATGCTAAGTACTTCTTCGTTTACTGAACCTTTGAGCATTATATAGTGTCCCTCTTTGTCTATTTTTATGGTTTGGATCTTGAAGTCAATATTGCCGGAGATTAAGATAGCTACCCCTTCCTTTTTGGAGTTAGAATTCGATTGGTAAACTTTCTGCCAACCCTTTATTCTTAGTATATTCTTGTCTGTGTGCTTAAGATGTGTCTCTTACAGACAACAGATTGATGGATTATGTTTTCTGAGCCAGTCCTCAAGCCCTTTTCTTTTAATGTACGAATTGAGTCCATTGGAATTCAGAGTTATTATCACTATCTGTGGGTTCATAGTTGTCATACCCTGTTTTGTGTTTTGGGTCTTTACCCATCTCACCTCATATCAGTGTGCTGTGTGCGAGTGGAGATTTTATGTGTTGTCTTCTTTTCCATCTGAGGCCCTCTTGTCCTGGTAATTGTTGCTGGCATGTTGGCTTCTAGATGGACATAGGCTATATGGTGATCTCCTGTTTGTTCTTGGTGGGGGTTGATCCTCTGGCCATATACAGAGTCAGCCAGTATCTTCCACAGGCTTGGGTGTTTCTAGCATATTCTTTGAGTCTTTCCTTGTCCTGGAAGACCCTTATCTCACCATCTATTGTAATGGATAACTTGGCAGGGTACAGGAT